AATTTATTTTAATTTAAATTTAAATCCATTTGATTGTAATTGTCATTTAAAATGGTTAAAAAATTTAATGAAAAAATTTAATACAACAACATGGTTATGTTCATTATCAGATTTTAAATGTCAAAATAATTTTATGCCACAAATTATTTTTTTTAATATAAGTTTTATAAAAGTTTTTAATAATTATGCTCTTTTTATACAATGGTCAATTATTGATAATTATCATACAATTAATTATTTACAAATAACTATTGATAAACCTTATCGAATATCACAAAAATTTTATTTAAATAAAACACGTGCATTTATTTCAAATAATATACAATTTAATCAATATTATCATATATGTTTATTAATAATACATAAATATGCACATGATAAATATTGTCAAGATATATTTGCACAAAATCCAATTATAAATAATCAAATAAAATTCCAAGATAATGATTTTATTTTTAATGATAATAATAATAATAATAATAATAATATTGATATTAATATTGATACAAAAACAAATGATTTTAATGATAAACATTTATATTTATTATTAATTGGTTCATGTATCGGTGCTTTATTAACATTTATATTACTTATAACATGTTGTTATTTATGTTATCAAATATATCAATATAAAAATATTAATCAACAACCAATTTATGAAAAATGTTCACAAAATATTCATTATCCAATTTATCATACACATCCAACATGTTCACATCATCAAATAATATATAATTCAGAAAATCTATCAAATTCAACAGATAGTACTCATATAGATACATCATCATCAACAACAACAACAAATCATCCTAAACATATTTATCAAACAATTGATAGTCAAGAATATCGTTCATTACAAAGACAACATCAACATTTATTTGAATTATGGAACGAATCTGTTAAACAGAAAAGATAATTCTATCTGTTTGTTTTGTTTTTTTTAATCTTTTTTTTCTTCTTGTTTTGTATTTTTTATTCTATATATATATATATATACACCCGGATGAATAGATTATGAATGTTTTTTTTTTTTTTTTGTAAATATTCGATCAGACAAAATTGATACATCATCGTAAATTTCTTATCACAACATATAGAATTGAATTCTCGGTAAATGCCTATTATTATTTGATATTAAAATTAATCTAATAAAAACAAAACAATTTATAAAATACATTAAATGATTCAGTGAATAGCATCTGTTTCCTACACAAATTATTTCGAAGAATGATTATCAGTTCTAAACAAATACCTCAGAACTTTGGTATTTATAATTGAACTTTAAGCCAAATGCACTTTTTAGTATTAACTATATTTATCTCACAAAAATTATCTATGTGAAAGTGTATCACAAAAGACAGCGTTTATTTTTTTTATACAGCATTGGAATTTTTTTTTCAGCTAATTTGTTTTATATAGCGTTATTTCAGCTGCGAATAAGAAGACAAATCAATTTTCTCAAAATATAGTTTATTGTTTGATCAAAAGAATACATAATCGATAGGATTTTTCGAGCGTTGTCTAACAGGAAATTATATTTTAGAAACAAAATATTTCTTTGCACAAAAATAGTATTTTATGAAAAATTGTATTGCAAGTAGATGTCATTTACTAAAATACATCACGCACTTTATAAACTCATGATTTGTTCCATCCTTTTCAATTAAAGCTAATAAGATTTTGTAGAAAATTAAATTCTATATTTTGTAGCAGGAAATTTGTTCTAGTATATTATTTTTTCGTTCGAATATTTACAAAAAGAAAAGGATGTTACTGGCATTTGTTACACTTGGCATGCTTATCATTTTGTTGTCATTTAATTTTTCTGAGCAAAAATAACAAGAAGATCTCTTGAGTATTCCAACGAGAAAAAACAAATTATAATAACTATCCGAATACTTAAAATAGAAGTATTATTATTTTGTCTATTTGACGTCATCAATTGATTCTTTCAATGAGAGAAAATAAATTGTTGTTGTTGTTGTTATTATCGGCAAGATTTCAATTCATTAAGTTGCTTAGACGGATACAATATGATTATAAGGCTTGTCTATTGATCGAACATGTCTCAATGGTTTAAGACAACATACAATTGATTACGTATTTTTTTTAGATGCAACTAATGTATTGAGAAGAAGAAGAATTAATAAACTTGATAGACAGCTGTCAAATTTTGAATAAATATTAAAATCAAAATCATCATCGAACAAAAAAAAAGAATTATGTAATTGAAACAATTATTGAATATTAAAAGAATAAGCAAGTTCTGTTAATAGACTTGTATATTCATAGACAGATACTTAAATAAGCTGAACTCAAAAGAAATATTTTGATAAGTATTTAAATATTCTATTGAATTATATTGCAATGAAAACAATTAGTTTTTCTTCTACGATCAAAATCAAACAAGTAAAAACTATCAATTTTTTTAAAAATTTTCATTGGTATTTATTAAGTTTTTCTATTACGATGATGACTAAATTAGATAACATCATTCATCTTCAAGATTTCTATGGATGATTCACAAAGACAAAATAATATCTTGAAGAAGTAATTAATTATGTACTTAGTTCATTTATTGAATTTTTGATTTATTTACTCTGAAAAAAAAATAATATGTAGAAATGAAAATTATTTTTCAATGTTTCCTCATATTGAAATTTGATCTTAAATAAATCATAACACATATGGTGTTTTTGTACTTAAGATTTTGACTACCTGGAAAGAAAAAAAAAGAATTAATAAATTCAACTCAATATTCTGTTACTCAAAAAAATGTATTCCAGTGTTCATAAAAAGATTATTCTTTTCTACTTGAAAAATATAACAAAAATCATTGTATTGATCGATGTTTTAAATACATATCTGTCTTCTCTAGACTTATGACTAGAGTACATTTAACATTAGGTGAAAAAGTCGAAGATGTACTGTTACATGCACTTCAAACTATTGACTATCGTCCGATGTCACCACGGTAAACATAAACTTTCCTGAACTCAAATATTGGTTTTCCAAAAAATCATTGATCTTTTTTTTTGATAAACAAATGAAATCAGCATCACAAAACTTCATTGATTAGTGTATAGTTTATTGGTTTTTAACAAAATTTTAGGGTAATGCGGAAGTCCTCTTCAAGGTTTTTTTTTAATCAAAAACTTTTCTCCAGACTTTTTCTATCACATATTCATTCTGAGTTGTAGGAACTAATATTTGTTAGGAAAAAGAATTGAGATTTTGAAACAGGACGAAAATTGATATATACATGCTCTATAGAAATTGTTCACTGAGTAAAAAAAATACAATGTCCCAAATCGTTGAAATTCCCATATCAGAATGTATTGTAAACTATGAATTTCTTATTTTTAACAAATATTTTAGTATTTAAATCAACATTTAATCCAGATTTTCTCTTCCGGAGAGATAATTGAAGACTTCAGGAAAGCGAATATTTATTTTTAGGAGCACAAACACATCATACTTGGTACGATAATTACAAATTTGCAGATGATCGATCCAATCTTTGTAGGGGCACTACTGATCTCGACCTTCGCATTGAATGAAGCGCTAATTTAAATAAATAGTACAAAAGTAAATCATAGACAAGATATTGCGAAATGTCTTTAAAGCTGTTCATTATCATTTTCTTCATCAGTTGTTTTAGCTTTACTTTAGTGTAGACACATCATGTGATTTAATCAGTGTAGTATTCACAACAATCAGTAATTGCTTATGGGCGAGAGTGTACTTGAATGGTAACTATCTATCAAATTTATCTTTTCTCGCTCACACTTTGGCCAAGGATAGTTATAGTTACATTTCCTTGGATGTCTGTGCATTACATTTGATGAATAGTAAATGAATAATTTTATCTACATTCAGACATATTCGTCGATTGATATTATATTTCTAATACTAATACATATATTAGAAAATAGATAATTATCTAATAAATGTCTACATCAATACTTTTTTTTCTCTATTGATAGTATAGAAAAGTCATACGCTTCTTTGACAAAACAATAACTTTATATTTCAATTATGTAATGGGAAGAATAAGAGTTTACAGGGCAATTCGATAGAAGACAAACGGAATCCAAGATACGAAAAAAAAATTTTCTCCCATAAGACTAGAGCTCATCAGATCCAAAAATTTCAGATCCAGAACATCCCGACGGGCTGTATACAGGACTCTGCTTATGACCTTCACATACTCTTTCGGGAAGGTCTACGAAAAGTCAAGTTTTATGATTTTCTTTCTGTAGCTTATCTACTTCATATATATGAGGTTGTCCAGTCTAGCCGGATGTACCATTGATATTTTTTCTATTGTAAGGATAAAACATACTATTGTTCGGATCATATGAGAGAGAGAGAGTCATAGATAACCCTAGATTGGCCCGAATAATACCATGTTTTATTCTAATAATAGTAGAGAAACGCTACCAGCAGATCTATGAGCTCGTAACTTTTCTCTACTATTGTAAGGATAAAACATGGTATTATTCGGGCCAATCTAGGGTTATCCATGACTTTCTCTTATATGATCCGAACAATAGTATGTTTTATCCTTACAATAGAAAAAATATCAATGGGACATCCGGCCAGACTGGGCAACGCCATATATATAGTTTTTTTTGTATCCGAATCACATGTATATATACGTAAGATTATCTATTGATCCTTCTTGAAATCTTTTTTTATTCAAATCTAGTTGAGAATTGTTTATTATCATATTTAAGATATCAAGATTTTTCTTTTTTTTTTTTTGTTCTACATACAATGTTGAATTCAAAATAGATAATATATTAAATCATAGATATCATAAAACATGATCGCTTATTTTTTCTTTATTCCTAACTCTACGAAAATTGTAAATTTATACAGAAATAATATTTGTTTGTTTATATTTAGATTAAAAATTATTTTTTCTTTTTATTATGAAATTATGTGTTTGTTTTTGTTTTTTTTGAATTCTTTAAAATAATTATTTTTCTTTTGAATTATTGAAGTTGACCAGTAGCAGCAATCTTAATTTCACGTAATATTTCACCAGTCTCTGATCCACACAGATCAAGATCTTTAAGTAAATGAAAGCCTTGTATAACTTGTCCAAATACTACATGTTTATTATCTAAATGTGGACATGGTGCAAATGTAACAAAAAATTGACTTCCATTTGTATTTGGTCCACTATTTGCCATTGATAAAAGACCAGCACGATCATGTTGATATGGAAAACCTTCATCATCAAATTTTTCTCCATATATTGAATAACCACCTGTACCATTAGATTTTTCAAAATCACCAGCTTGAGCCATAAAACCTGGAATAATTCGATGAAAATATGATAAACGATAACCAAAACCATGTTCATTTAATGTCAATGAAAGAAAATTTTGAGCTGTACGTGGTAATACATGACGAAAGAGTTCCATAACAAGACGACCACGTAGTTCATTATCAATTTCAATATCAAAATAGACAAGTGGATTTGATGGAAATTTCATTGGTACTTGTGGACCAACAGCACCTCTATTAATCAAAAAGAAAATTTTAACATTTAGTTTATGTAATCATTTTTCTACTTACGTTTTTTTCAGAATAGCTGGTCCAACGACTTGTTTTTGTTGATTTCCACTAGGCATTAGAACAGAAGGTGTTTGATGATCATTAAAATCGATTATTCCTCTGTGTCTATAAAAATATGACGATTGTAATGAAAATTAAGATTAAAAAAAAATTTATATATGTATATATATATCATACGATTCATCATTTGCTCCTTCATTATCACTATTTTTATTGTTGTCGCCCATAGGATGTTTTGATGATCTTTTTTTATTTTTTTTCTTATGTTTTTTTTCTTCACTTTGATCTCCTGTCAAATCTGAACTCGGATTAAGTACTGTTGCTTGTTGATCATTCGCTACTTCAACTACAAAATAAAATTATATTATCAATTAAACATCTAAAACAAGGATTATATGTTGTTTATATGTACCACCCATATAAGGTTGTTGATTGAGTCCTACAGGAGCAGAATTTGGTGGTCCACCTAAATTTTGATAAACATAAGTTGGTTGACCATTCGTTGGTATAGCAATATAATCCGTTATTGGACGAAGAAATTTTTTATAATAATCATCAATCATTGAATTATTATATTGACGTACCAAAGTAGATCCACGATCATATGAAATATCAGTATCTGTATCATTGAGTGATGGTGGAACATAACTACCGATATCAACTGGTATTTGTTGTTGTTGAGAAAATTGAAATGATTCGTACTCAATAGTTTTTGTTTGTTGTTGTTGTTGTTGTTGTTGTTGAGTTGGAGCACTAGTTAATGAAAGACCGGATAAATTTTGTGATAATAAATTTTCATTGAATTTTGGTGGGCGATTATAAACAGGATTTGAGAACATGGTTGACCGTTGAGAAATATGTTCTATGAATAAATAATTTTGTTCTCTGTTCTTTCTTATTAAACGATATTGAACGAATATGAGCAATGAATATTTGTTCAAAATGAATGAATAAATGATAAGGTTGAATGAGCAGATGAATATTAAAGATTGCTTGTACTCGTATTCATTAAAAAGAAAAAAAACCGAAAAATTACTAACATCGATCGACTGTCATTTCGCATGAGTTATTAACATCGATCACCTTTTTGTATAGAGATAAGAGAGGAAAAAAAAATTTATGCAATGCCTTGTCATTCAAATGACCATTCAAGTGCATTGTATATGAATAGAAAAAAAAAGCAATATTCCTTCGCGCTTTTCAAATAAATATGTAGATGACCTTCACGGTTGAGCTCAATGTTAATGACAACTTGTAAAGGTTAAAATATGTACATCTGTTCTTGTCAAATGATAACTATAATTGATAATCATAACAAATTTTATGAAAATTTCTTCTATTGAAAAATAATTTTCATTTATAATAGTTTATATGTAAAAAATTAAATTGAAAATAAATACGTATATTTGAATATGATTTAATTTGTTTATTTTTAAAACAAGCAAAAAAAAAATGAAAGTAGACATACAAAACAAAATGTTTAACAACATTCGGAGTAAAATATTCGATGTATTATAAGATATGAATAATAATAATAATAATAATAATAATAATAATAATAATAATAATAATAGGAAAAAAAACAAAAGAGCGACAACAATACACAACAAAAACATGCAATATGAACAATTTAAACATATTTTTTTTTGTTAATATAATGTACAATTTCCTGGCTCGATTAAGGTTTAATAACTAAGAAATATAATTTATGAAGGTCGTTGTGATGAGCATTGAATTTCGCCTGTATTTTTTTTTAATGATCACACACTGTCTAACACGTCTTCTCTTTATACAACTATCTCCTAATTTGGAGTTTGTTGCTGCTCACACCTCGCCACCATTTTATATCTTCTTTTTCATATAAGAAAATTGTTATGTTAAATTTATATATAGAGAGAGACGAACACTGTTCGTTTTACTGTTACAAATTTTGCCCTAATCTTTCATATTTGTCTTTTATTAACTTTTTGCATTTAACATTTTCATACGTAATTTTAATGGCATCATATCACCTCGAGATTCATGTTGTTGTTGTTGTTGTTGTTGTTGTGAATGAGTAATATTTGTATTACAATTTGTTGATTGTTGTTGTTGCGTTTGTGGCATTGAAAAATAATTCATTAATGTTTTCCATTGATCAAATGAATTTTGATGATGATGATGATGAAAATTTTCAGCTTGTATTTGTTGTGAATTATGATTACTATGATAATCAATAGTAGCTTTAGGAAGATTTGGTTTACGTAAAATATCATTAATAACAGATTGAAATGTTATTTGTGGTTCCATACGTGTTGATGGTTTATTTAATGAAAGTAATGTCATTGCAGCTTCATTCCATTTATGTTGTTGTTCATCATCTTGTTGTGTTTGATTATAATTTCTTTTTAATGTTGATATTATTGGTTTTGTTTCAATTGGTGATGCTATTGTTAATAAACGTGATGATGATGATGTTAAAATTTCTTGTTGTTGTTTTGTTTTAAGCATTTGATTAGCAAGAATTTGTAATAATGATTCATTTGGTGGTGATGGTGATGGTGTTAATGGTGATGGACTTTTACTTGGTATTGTTGTTAATAAATTACCTGTTTTAATTTCTGTACGACTTAAATCAATTGCACTATCATTTGTATTACCAAGTAATTGATTATAAAGTATTGGATGTTGAATACATGTATTTGATTCATCATCTTCATGTGTTTCAGATGATGATGATGTATCTTTTGGTATTGTTGTTAATTGTAATGAATGTTCATCATCATCATCATCATCATCATCATCATTATGTTCAGCAAGTATTGTTGATGCTGATGTAGCTGGTTTAAGACATATATGACCAAGACGTTGTTCTTCTTCAAATAAATTTTCCATTTCAATTTCTTTCATATTTAAACGTGAAAGCATAAGATTAAGTTTAGCTTTTAATGTTTCATTTTCATTTGTTAATTCAACAACTTTAGTTTCTAAAAATAAAATAAAATAAAATAAAAAAACATAGAAGAATAATAAATTTAAAATATTCTTACCAAGTACAATATCATTTAAACGTCGTTTTTCTCTTGAACGTTTTGCAGCTAAATTATTTTTTCGTCGTCTTTCCCAATAATGATCATCTTTCATATCATTTGGTATAAAATCACGACGTTTTCGTGCTGGTATAACATTTTTACGTGTTAATAATTGTGTTAAAAATTCTTTATCAACACATTGTGGTCCAGCTGTTGTTACAACTTTAACAATATCACGATCATTTGTTGAATTTAAACATGAAGAATCTGTTGCAGATATTAATGGTACTTGAGTTGGAGGTTCATTTGGTAATGGCATTGATTTTCTTGATAGACAGAAAAAAAAACAAAAAACAAAATAAAGCAATGAACTATAAATTCAATAGTGAATAACATACTTGATACGTTTAATTTTAGAATCAGAAGGAGATGATAATGATGATGATGATGATGATATTTGTTGTTGTGTAAGAGCATAGAGCATACTAAGTTGAGATTGTAAATTATTAGTAAATAAATGAGAAGATTCTATGAATGGAGTTGTTGATGAACGAAGAAAATCATTCGATTGCATTTTCTATTATGATTATAGAATATATGATTTTAATTATTTTTTAGAATGTTCAAAGAAAAAAATAGATACGAACTTGAATGCTAGTTGTCATTGAATTTTTGTCGAATAATAATAATAATAATAATAGATGTCTACTCACGTTGAACTCAAACACGAAACTGACCTTTCTCTTTCTTTAAATAGATTTTCTCTCTTTTTTTTCTTCTCTTGTTGCCCTAATTCATTCACTGTCTTTTGTAGTTTTTTAGGTCAATGTACATGTCTGCGGTCAATAGCAGTGAGTTAGGTCAATTTGACCTGTTTCTTCTTGACCGTTACATGTACTTATTCTCGTTTCTTATGAACATCTGCATACACAATACTTTCATCGAACATTTGACCTTATGTATATATATACAATTGTTCTCTTTCTCCTTACTTTACGTGTTCATGATCAAATCAAAGTAAAGAACGAGAGAAAGAGGAATTATCGAATGGATGACCGACAACATGAGTTGATGGTCATCTTTTCTTCAATAGAAGAGAAAGAAATAAGGTCAATTTAACTTTTCTATTCAATTTTTTTTTCATGAGAAAATAAAAGGTTATGGGGCATTTCTTTCTCGGTTATGACCGATATTATTATTTGTTCGGATGTAGTATACATTGTCTATATCTACATAAGGAGGTCGAGTTGACCGGCATAATTCTTTTCTCATTATAATGTATGTATGTGTCGGTCACACAATACTTATCCCTTATGTACATACAATTTATTCGTTCACTTGACTGATGATAATACTTGTCTAGATACTTTATCCTTCTTCTAGTTATATATATATATATATGATGAATGAGAACGTGGTTAATTATTTAGTAGTCTTAACACTATATTTGATTTAATTGCAAAAATAATATTATGACAATAATAAACGCGATTATCAAAGATTAATATGTGCATTACAATATACGTATATCTTTTTTTTTTGTTGTCGTTTATCACGAGGCTAAAAACATAATTATGTATAAATACATGCATTTGTTGTTGTATATACCATTGATGGTAGGCTTTTTTTCTGTATATACAACAGACGACAACCTCTACGAGGAACCTTGAGATGATAATGGAATGATAGAAAAGAACAAAAAAAAATACAGAGTCAAAGAGTAAGCTTGCAATATGAATATATAAATAATACGAAACAGAAAAACGAGAGAATGACGCAAAATAACGATAACATTGTAAAGCAAGAAAATCAAATGTCTATTGATGATACAACTGATGGAGATTCACTTTTATTACTTCTTCGAGATGCTATTGTACAACATTCACCAGTTAAAGATATTAAACTCATTCTTAGGTATTTTGTTTTTCTTTGATCTAAAAATATATTCTATCCTTGTTTTTCAGTTGTAAACAAGTAAATATTAATGGAACTGTTCGTCGTGGTCTTAGACCATTACATTATGCTGTTTTTGAGAATGATTTTGAATGTGTTCGTCTTTTTATTGAAGAATATGATGCAGATGTAAATGTTTTAGATGAAGCCGGTTATTCACCTTTACATTTAGCTGCAAAATATGGTTTTATTGATATTATACATATTTTAATTGATCATGGTTCTCTGATTAATTTTCATATAGCAGCAAATGATTCTCAAACACGTTCAATAATAGCTCCTTATTATGATATTATGACAGAACCATTAAGTCTTTGTTTAGAAAATAATCATATTGAATGTGCACGTTTATTACTTTGTTCTGGTGCTAATGTTAATCAACAATATTTTCTTGGTTATGAAATAAATTTATTACCATATGAAAATCTTCCTTCATTAGAATTAATTCTTAAACATGGTGCTAATCCAAATGCACTTTCACGTAGTGGTATAACACCATTAATAAAAGCATGTCGAGAAGGAAATGTTGGTGCTGTTATATTATTATGTCGTTATGGTGCTAATGTTAATTATGTAACAAGAAAATTTCGACAACGAAATGCACTTATTATAGCTATTGAAACAAAACGTTGTGATATTATTGAACAATTATTAATTTATGGAGGTTTTGTTAATAAACATCCTGATTTATCTAATTCACCATTGGAATTAGCTATTCGAAAAGATCATATTGAGACAGTAAAATTATTAATTGGTATGTAGATTTAATATAAACATATAACATATATATATATATATATATGTCGAATGAATTAATTTTAGCTTTTGGTTCGCATACAAATGAAGAAACAAATGAAGATGTTGAATGTATAACA